TTTAAAGGATTATTCACAGAGGAAAGCTGCACCAGCTTAGCCAAAGCATTCATACTTCTTCAGACCTTGATGTCCTAAAAACTAGTTTTATTTTGGTTTACTAAAGTTGATTAGGAACAGATTTTTTAAAACTGAAATAAGCCACTTTTAAAATGAAACTTGAACATCTAAAGGGGGTTTGCGTCTTTTCCACACATGCAAGCTACTTTATTGATTTTTTTTTTTTCCTGTGCAGTATTTTCCTACATATGCTTCTTAAAACCTGCTACTATAAAGACTGGAGCTATCTTCGTACCTGTGCACATCCTGCACTCCAGCCAAAACTCAATCCCAGTATCTTGAGCCTCCTGTTCACATCTCTGGGATAGTTATGCTACCACAGAGGAATGACACATTGTTTTCAGTAACTGTTCACAAAAATGTGACCAGACACGCTGCAAACTGGTACTTTTTTTTACTGGTTAGCCATAAACTTCATCAAATTGCTTGTCCCTGGCAATAGCTGGATAGAAACTGCAATGCTGCAAAGGCTGGCACCTTGGAAAAAAAAAAAATAGGGGACAGCTAGAGCTAAATAAAAACTAAGAGAAAGAAAGAAAACCCTGAGCCAGGAAGACTGTGTAAGCAAAGATTAACTTCATGCCGAAATAAGGTCTGGAAGAAGAGATTTCACAAATAATTTTAAGAGACTAAGTGGGGGTTTTCACAGGATTAAATAATAATAATAATAATAATAATAATAATAATAATAATAATAATAATAATAATAATAATAATAATAATAATAATAATAGTTTAGTTAAGTAATAGCACATAAGAGCGAGAAGATTAAATTGGATTGATAACGAAGCCTCTCGTTTGCTCTCTGCTTTACCCACCCCTCACACAACTTCACCACCACGGACTGCCTGAAGCCCAGCAGGGAAGGTGCGCGCCTTGCTGGGACGGGCTGCGGCTCCGCAGAACCCGACAGGAGCGACGGGAGCGGGACCTCCGCGCCAACGCACCCCGGCCCTTTAGCACCATCTACACTGATTTTATTAATTTGATTTAATAGGACTTCACCGCCATGAAAATGCTTTTTCGGTTGTTGTTTTGTTTTGTTGGTTTTTTGGTTTGGTGGGTTTGTTGGGTTGGGGGTTTTTTGGCTGTTTTTTTTTTTTGGGGGGGAGTGGTTGTTTTTTTGTTTTTGTTTTGGTTTTTTGGTTGGTTGTTTTGTTTTGTTTTTTTGTTTGTTTTGTTTGTTTGCTTTTTTTTTTTTTTTTTTTTTTTTTTAGATAAACGGGAGGAATTGTGAACAACTATAGCCTTATTTATAAACACAGGCATGCACAGCTCGGTGCGGGTGCTGGGCTCATTCACCCATCCCGGGAAGGCGAACCGGCCGTACGGGGAGCGGGAACCGGGGCTGGGGGAACGGGAGCGGGTACCGGGAACCGGGGATCGGGGTGGGGAGCGGAAGCGGCTTCAGCCGCCGCGCCGGGGCTCAGCGGTGAGGGGCGGCTCGGAGGCGCCGGCCGGGCTCGCCCCCCCCCCGCCCCCGAACAACGGGCTCTCATCTGCAAACGACGGCAGCTTTTTTTTTTTTTTTTTTCTTTTTCCGAAAAAGCTGCTCTGCAAAATGCCCCTCGCGATGGCCGGCGCTTAAAGAAGTCACGCGTGGCCGGTTTTTTTCTCGTTTCCCCCCGGTTTGGACAGCCCTCGGGTACCTACAGCTGCAGGGAGCGGCAAAGACGGGGCAATTTTTGCACTACACATAATTCAGCCTTTAAGAACCATCCACAGAAAACCCTCTGGAGCAGAAATTCGTAATTAGAACAAAACCTCAAATAGGAGGAACCTGATTTATGGAGCCCAGCGCCCCGTCCTCTGGGCGCTGCGATGGGCAGGGTTTATGTCTGAAGGAGGCGAGCGGTTTTATGCAAAGTTCAGGGAACTTTGCTAACATAAACTTTTTATCTTGTGATGATCCTTTTAATATAAAATAATCTCTTCTTTTTTTCCCTCCCACAATGAAGCAGTCAAACATTAAAAAGATAGCGAGTGCATTTTAAAGATGTTTCCACTTTATAAATCAAGTTTTCTTGGCAACAACATGATTTCTATTTCAATGCTGAGCTTGCTGTGTTCTCCTAATGTCTCCTACAGATCAGTCCTAAGAGGGAGTAATAATCCCCCCAAAGTAATTCTCAGCCCTAAATTCTCGATAATTTATAGTTGGCTCGTTCTGTGGAGCTCTACAAAGAATGAAACAAATGACTCCCCCTCTCCCCCCCACTAAGTTATCAATATTTGCCTTGTTTATACAAAAAGGCTATTTTACACCATTGCCATGGAATTAACGCTTCCGCTGAGCTTTACATTTCCTCTCCATTGAGTGAACTTGTCATTAAAGTCACTTTTTTTTTGTTGTTTGAAATTTAAAAATCAGGCTTCAATTTCTTTTCGTTTGTGCCCCTTGAGGTCAGACAGACCGACATTTAAGTGATTTCAACTAACTGCATTCAGGGGCATCTCTGTGCCTGCTGGGAGGGGGATTAGAGTCCTAATTAGTGCCTGCAATTAGCCGTTTTCCCTCTTCTCACCCCCCCCCCCACCCCACTCCCCCCCATGCTAAATGCAAGTGCATACAAATCTCCATCAACCATCATTTTTTTAATTGGGTCAAGAGGAGGTTTATTATTGCTACTCTTTATTTAAATAGCTTGGGTAAAATAAAATCTGCATGAGGTAATAATTTTAATTTCGTCATTTGCATGACGATTCACGGCATATTCCTGCATTTGGGCTGCCCTGCTCTCAGCATGGACACGAGTGGCTCAGCCTGGCACTCGGTACGAACCAAGAGACTTCAGCGATCACGGGATGTAAGTTCCTCGATTATTTTTTTTTTTCCCTACCATTCTCATACTAATTATTTTGTGAATTTTTTTGCTGTCGGGGCTGCCGGAGAGCCCAGCCCAGTCCCGCCCCTGGGCTCCAGCATGGCTCCCGCTGCCCGGGCTCCAGAGCCCTTAGACTCCCTCTTTACACTTTGCCCTTTATTTTAACACCATTTGCAGCTGGACATAGAGTTAAAAGAAAAAAAAATAATGATGTGACTGTTTTGTTTCATGTTGTTCATCAGCGTTTCAGCCATGGGGTTTTTTTGAATTAAAAACTATTAAAAAATACTAATAGCTTGATGGTGCTGCACTGATTTTCACAAACGGAGAATTTGGCTTAGACGATAACTTAAAAACCAAAGTTTTGTACATCTTGGGGTCAATCTCCTCATCCACATGCTCATGAAAGGTGAGTACGTGTGCACCGCCAGCTCCACTGGACAAAGAATGCGGGACTGAGCCCCATACATATGGATTTGTTTAAACAATCCACGTTAAGACTTACAAAGAGATAACATGCACATTTGGGATGCTTAGGGTCTAGAATTTGGTAAAGATATTCCACATCCCGCACAGACACATTCAGATACTATAAATTAAGGGTGAAATATTTGAGGTCTTGATCCCCTAGTCTTAACTGACTTAGGTAGCAGACCTATCAAAACGAATCCGGCTCTTCACATCAGTAGATGCTACAGAGCAAGCACAAAGATTTTATACACCAAAATGTAGTGTGATAAGGACAGAACTACCTGCACAATCACTTCATAAATAGGCCAAATAGCAAACAAATTGAAGATCCCCGGGACATACACTCCCTCTCCAGGGGGACTAATGGGAATATCTTGGTTATTGCAGTAAAGCTCCCCTACACCGGCCAGCTGCCACGCAGAGCAGCGCTGCCGGGGACGGGGCAGAGGAGGGGGAACTCCCCATCCCTCCCCAAATCCAACCTCGAGGGTTGGGGTCTGGGTCTTGCAGTGTGAGCAGCAAATAGGGGAGAAAAGACACCCCCACACCCCCTGCCCCAAGCACCCTGGTTGCTCTGCACAAAGGATCAGGAATCACAGGGAAAAAAGACTGAGTAGATACTGATTGAGGGATTTATTATTTTTTTGTCTGATTTCTCCCCATTATTTGAGCATCCTTCTCCACAGCTCTCTAGCATGGTGTCAAATTATCAATCACAGGTCAAGGCAGAACCACACAGCTGTGTTAGAATTAAACAGGTTTTAATACCTAAAACTGGTGATTTTTCTTTTCCAGCAGCAGCGACGTGAGCCCGCTGCTGCAGAAGCCAAGGACAGATATTTCGGTGCCCACGGTAGGAGCTGACTAGTTTTGTTGGGAACCATCTGACTCCTGGGCTGGTGATGGTCTGAGTTTTAAATCTGAGGTTTAATTTTCTGACATTAATTCCGCCATCTCCCACCTGAGCAGCCTGGGTGGGAGGGGAGCCCTAAGCAGGAGCAGGGATCAGCTCCCCAACAAAGCGAAGCCTCTGCAAGCCTCCTGCCCAGGCCTGGGTGTGCACACTGAGGGGGCTCTGGTTTGGTAAAAATCATCATTTGTTTCCAAGGCAAGGCAGAAATTTTTTTCCACACCTAACCAGATAAAAGCAGTACCTGTCCCTCTTTCAGTTCTGAGATTGAAAGTATAGCCTACACCTTCGTATTGCTAAAACTGTGGTGCAAAGTATCCCAGCACAGGTCTTAGTGCACTGTGCAGAAAAGGGGAGCGGGGTATGCTTTGGGGAGAAAAAAAAAAAAAAAAAAAAAAGTAGAGCTACAACCATACTAACACCTTAAAAACAAAACAAAACAAAAAACACACACACAAAAACAACCCAAATAATAAAATGAAGAATTACCAAATAGAATTGTGACTAAATATACCAAATGACTCCGCAACTCTGTCTTCCATCCACAATCTCATTGCCACAAACACATGCACAGTTTGCACTTAATAAAATAATCTTACTGAAATCTGAAATCGTAATAATAATTTTTTGTAAATGCCACTGGTTGCAGGACCTCTACAAACCCCCATCTCGGCAAACAGGGCCACTTCATATGGGTCAGAAGCAATACATGTTCGCGGGGAATTTTCACTAACCTGCCTGCTTTGGTTATTATCATTTCGGTGCCAGCTTCATGAAATTTCTTCCATAGCTCCTTCTCATGGAGATAGACTTTGATATTTTCTATTGTCTGGAAAAAAAATAAATATAATGAAACTAGCAAGAAATGCCTGAGAAAACCTGGGTGAGAGGCTGGGAAGGGCAGCAGGGCTCGGGGACTGTGCACCCAGGACCAGCACCGCAGCAGCCCCGCTCCTGCCTCTGCAGGAGGAGGATAGAGTCCCCAAAACTCCACTGCCCTTTGCCAAAAATAAGAGAAACAAACTGAGGCCGGTTTTAATTGCAGACTTTAACATCCAGGCGGGATATTGCGGCCAAAGGGATTTTTTTTTTTTATTTTACTTTATTTTTTGGGTTGTTTTGGGTTTTGGTTTTGGGTTTGTTTTTTTTTTGTAGTTTTTTTTTTTTTTTTTGTAGGGATTTCCGTGGCCCGATGGGGCAGACGGGCCCTGCTGTCGCCCCTGGGACTCCCAAAAAAAGGGAACAGGAGCATCCATGGCGACACCCGGATCAGCTGAGCAATATGCGCGGCCAGGGCCGCGGTTTCTGAGCGGACCCGCTCCTTTCCGCGGGATGTCGGGGGCAGCGCGGAGGCGCCGGCTGGGCGCGATGTGTCGAGAAGACACGGGCGGACCCGGAGTTTTATTTAGCGGAGGGGAAAAAAAAATAAAGACAAACCAAACAAACAGAAATAAAATTAAAAAAAAAAATCAAAAAACAAACAACGAATCCCAACGCCGGGCCGGATCCTGCTCAGGAGGAGCGGTCGCGGCTCATCACCCGACGGGCCCCGCGGAGATCGGGTTCGCCTCTACCGCTCCCGACGGCGGGCGCTGGGCGGCCTGCTTTGCACGGTGAAAAAAATAAATAATAATAAAAAAAAAAAAAAAAAACAACCTCCAAAATTTTAAAAAGCAAGAAAAATGCTATTTCCTCGCAATTCTTCTCCCCCTCCCCGGTTCGTGGCCGAGGATGCCGCGCGGTCGCGGGGGGCCTGGCTCCAGCACCGCCACCCGCGCTCCGGCCGGGCTGGTGGGGAGGGAGAGAGGCGAAGCCGTCGGGCAGGACGCGGGGCCGGGCGGTGCGTACCTGCTCGGGGTCGGGGAGCTGCGGGCTGCTGAGAGGCGTGCTGCTCCCCCCGGCTACGCCGAGGACGGGGGAACCGGCGGAGGAGTCCGCATGGCCGGGCGCGGGGGCTGTTGGAAACCCTTCCTCGGTTTCAGACAGGCTTTTCTCCTGGAGCATTTCCTTGTGGGGGGAGAGAGGCGCACCGTTAGCTCGCAGCACCGGGGGCCACGTCCAGCCCCTGTCCTCCCGCCCCTCCAGCCCCGGGTACGGTCACCTGCGGGGTCAGGCCCTCCCGGCCCAGCCCGCGGTCCTTCCTCGGGCGGCGGCACTCGGCGAGACTGGGACGTGACACCCCCGGCCCCGCGGGGAAAGCCGCTGTGGCCGGGAGAGCAGGGCCGGGCCCGCCTGTCCCCGCGGGGGAGCCGCCCACGCGTGGCTGCGCTCCCGCTTGAGGCTCGGGCAGCTCATCTCAGATGTGGCCGCAGCCCCCACCTCACACACACACACACCCCACACACACACAGCCCCGACCCTTTTTCTTCTCTTTCCCCCACCGCTTTTGGCCGCCGTGCGGGGCCAGTACCCGTCGGGGAGGGGAGCCCGGCCCGGCTGGGGGCTCTGCCCCGTCCCGTCGGGGCTGCGGGGGCTCCGCGGTGAAACGCTGCGGCGGAGCCGGGCGGCGTAAACAGTCAGAGTGCTGGGCTCCGAGATAAAAGGGCCCCTCTTAAACTTGGACGGAGACTGGGAAACGCCAATAAAGATAAGGCCTGACAGCTCCGCCGGGGCTGCCGCGCATCAAGCCCGACTTTTACAGCGTAGAGGGACGCGGCCGCCCGCCCCGCTCGACGGACAGACAGACGGACGGCCGAGCAGGGCCGGCGCGGAGCGGGGAGCTGCCCCGAGAGGGCTGCGGGGGTCCTGGCCCCGGGGACCGAAACCGGCGCTCCCCACGGGAAAACGCTGACGGTCCCCGGACCGGCGTCTCCTCGACGGAGCCGTGCTCGGAGCCGATCCGCCGTCCGGAGGTGGAGGGGGGGGATCGGGGCTGAGACCCCCGGCTCCAGCCACAGCAGAGCTTCAGGGAGAGCTCCGGCCATGGCGAGAGACAGCCTGCCCGGCTCCGTGCGAGCGGGCATACACACACACAAAAATTCCCGTGCGCAGCTGCACCGTACCCGCCGCAGCCCCGTGGGCAGGGACCCCCCGGCAGCCCCGCGGGGGCACTGCCGGTCCCCCCGCCCTGCTCGGGGGGGGACGGGGCGGCCTCAGCCCGGCCGAAACTCGGATGTTCCCGGCGGCCGACGTGCGCGGCGGGGCCGGCTGACCCCGGGGAACGCAAGGTGGGAGGCGGCGGCGACCCCCGAAGGCCCGGCTCCTGCCTGCGGGCGGGGACCCCGCCGCTCCCGGTATCGGAGCAGGGTCGCGGGCCGGAGGGGGTGCAGCGGGGCGGGCTGGCGGCATAGGCCGGGGGCTCGGCAGGCTGCAGGGAAAGCCCCCCCCCCCCCTCCCCGCTCCCTCCCCTCCTTCCCTCCCGCACCCCGGGAACTCACACAGCCGGCCGGGGGGCAGGAGGCGCAGCGGGGGGCTCCGGGCTTCGCCTGGGGGGCGGCTGCGGCATGAAGGGCATCCGCGGGGCAGCGCGGCGGCTGCGCGGGGCGCTCAGGCCGGGCGCGGCTCCGCGGCCCCCGATGGCAGCGGCGTGCGGGGCATCCCCCGCTGCGCGGATTCACTTTCCCTTGATCTTGGCGGAAAATGTTCCATAAAGATCCAGTTTGGGGCCTTTCGACTCCCTCCCTCTTTGTCTCCCCCCCCCCCCCCCCCCCCCCAACCCTCCCTTTTCCCTTCCCCTCCTGTTGCTGACGTTGCCGCTGTCAATCACAGCCCCACAGACCGGCTCTGGCCCGCTCCGCCCGGCCCGGCCCGCTCGCCCCGGCCTCGGCCCCGCGCCCGCCCGACGGCCCGCACCGGGGGGCACCGGCTGGGGGCAGCGGCAGCCCGGCTCCCCGCTCACCGGGCCCGGCCGAGGCCTTCCCCGGCCTGCCTGGCCTGCCTCGGCGCTGCGCCGGGCCTGGCGGCCAGCTGAGCCTCCGTCTGCTCCGGGAGGGGAGCCCGGTGGGGGAGGACACCCCCAACCCCACCGCCCCCCCCTCCCAGCCCCGATGGTCCCGGCGCTCCCCACTGCCCGCCGGGGAGCCGGGCCGGGGGCTGCGGCGGGGGTCGGAGGGCCGTGGCGGGCACAGGCCGCGCTGGAAGGGAGCTTGGCTCGGCGGGCCGGGCGCTGCCGGACCCCGCGGCGGGAGCCGGGGATGCCCGGGAGAGGCGATGGGGAAGGGCCCAGGACCGGGCGGGGTGTGAGGAGATCACGCTTCGGGAGGGGTCCGCAGCCTCCGGCCCTGCTGCACCGGCAGCCCAACTGCTCGTTTTCCGCCGGGCTGGGGCCGGTCTTCGGGTGCGGGTCTCCCCGAGAGCCCAGGGAGGGGGACAGGGCTCGCCGTCTTCCCCCGGTCGGGACAGAGAGCCCCGAGCCTTGCCCCAGAACGGGCAGGAGCTGGGAGGTCACGGACTAAGCGGCGACGAGGCCGGGCCGCCCCTGGCTGAGCGCGGCGGAGGGGAGAGGAGCTCCCGGGGCGGGGGGCAGGAACCCCCGCACCCCCCAGCCACGGGCACCGCCCGTTCGGGGCTCCCACCGCCAAGCCAAACCCCCACTTCTAGGGGGAGAACCCTCTCGGGAGAGTCCCCGAGTGGCTGTCGCGACTGAGCGGGCCGCTTCAGCGCTGCTGTCGCGATTACCAAGACACGCACCCCACCACCATTACCCCGCAGCCCTGCTGTCGGGGCTGCCCGCCCTGCGCTGAGCGACCCCTCGCACCCACCCCGTGGCCAAAACGCGCCCAGGTTCCCGCACTACCCCCGGTAGCTGTGCTTACCGCGACAGCCCCACTGCTGCGCGCCGTCCTATGTCGCGACAGCTTCGCTCTGCATCGCACACACCCCCCTCCCCCCCCCCGCTTCCATACGCACCCCCTTCCCCTGGGCTTCGCCCTGCTCCGCGCCCGCGGGGAGGGCGGCGGGCGGGAGCCGCTTACCCGAGCCGGCCGGTCCCGGACGGGCGCCGAGGTGCCGCTCGCCTCCCGCAGCCCCGGGCTCACAGGGACACCGCCATGAGCCGGCGGGGCTTCACGGGGCAGGATTTTTATCGGGGTTTTCTTGAAAGTGAATTTAAACCCAAACTCACTCCCACCGTCACGTGGTGCCGAAATTGGGAACAGGAGCAGAATAAAAAGTAAACTGGGGTCAACCTCTTAATGAACCTTTTCCCCACTCCTACAAAAAAAAAAAAAAAAAAAAAAAAAAAGTAAAAAAAAAAAAAAAAAGTCCCGGGCGGGCCGGGGGATGCGAGCGAGGGAGCGGCGGGTAATTCCCGCAGGAGCCGGGGCCGGGGCAGGTGAGACCGGGCCGGGCGGCGGGCCCCGACGTGCGGCTGCGGGGCCGGGGAGAGGAGGGACCCGCGCCCGTCCTGCTCCTGCACAGACGGAGCGGGAGCTGAGGAGGGTCTGGGGGTGAGGAGCCGTCCCGGTGGGGCCGCGGTGGGAGCGGGGAGGCCGGGCTCAGCCGGGCGGGGGGTGTCCGGGAGCGCCGCTCCCCGCCGCTGACCTGCTGCGCCCTGCCCCGTGCGCGACCGCGGTGGTTTCCGCGGGTCTTATCTGCCTCTGAGCCGCGGGCCGGCCCCGAATCCCAAACCCCGCGCTGCAGGAGGGGAGAACCCGCGGAGGATGCGCGGACATCGCAGCCGTCCGCCGCTTGCACCGCTCTGGCCCGTCACCCGTTCCCACCTGCGGGCCGGGGTCTCCCCGCAGGCTGCGGGGCCCGGGGAGGCTGCCGAGGGCCGGGCTCTAGGGCAAGGTGTATTTTTGTATTTACTCTGCGGCTGGTGCCCGTCTCTCAGCTTTTTTTGACCGAGTCTCCCTCCACCCCTTCCTCCCACCGCCGCGGACAGGGACAGAGGGAATCACGGTCGCTTCCCTACGTTAAATGCTCATTTTCCCCCGTTGAACAACAACAACGAAAAAAAAAGGGCGGAGGGAACGATCCTCAAGTGGCGAGTATTTAATTAAAGCAAAGCCAAAGCCTCCCCCTCCTGCCGCCGGCCCTCCCCGTCTGTGCTGGAGCGGCGGTGGCGGGTCCTTTCCCCGCCGTGGGCCCCGGTTGAGGCTCTCCTCGCCGGTTCCGCCGTGCCGTAAGCCCGGGCAGCACCTGCCCGCAGCGGCTCCGGCCCCCCGGGGCTCCCTCTGCCTCCTCCCGCACCGAGGCGGCGGGGTCGGTGGGGCTCGGCCGGGGGAGGCCGCGGCCGATTTCATCATCCGCCGGCCGGGAGGACCGGGCCGGCATCGACGGGCGAAGCGTCCCCGCCCGACGGAGCCCCCCGGCTGCGGCAAAGCCTTGAGCTTCGCCGAGGCTCCGGCAATTCACGGCGAGGCTCGAAACCAACCCGACTGTCATCACCCGGCAGATAAACGGCCGGATCCCCGACGGCAGGGTGGCTCCTATTCACGGCTCATCACCGCCGAGTCAAAGGAGCAGGCAGGGGGAGGATAAGCCCCGCTTTCAGGGACCGGCGCTCCAAACCACTCATCACTGTCACCGAGCTCGCTCATGCCTTGGCCCTAAACACCGGCGATTAATAAAAGTTTACTGTCGCTTTTCTCCAATATTTACACTCCGTCTGAGGGCCGGGGAAAACCGAGCGGGCTCAGCTCCGCGGGGATGCTCCGCCGCTTCTCCAGCCGCGGCGGCCAGCGCCGCTCCCTTTGGCTCGCTCCTCTTCCCTCCCCGAGAAAACCCGCTTCCATTACCCCAAGAAAACCTGCCAACCACGACGGAGACGAGGGGAGAAGCGAGCCCCGAGTCCCCACCCGACGGTACCCTGCGGCTGGGCGGCCCCGACGGCGGCCGCGGCTCGGAGCCCCGGTGCGAGGTGGAGGGGGGAAACCCTCTCCCACGCTGACCCTGGCTCCCGTGAAATCAGGACCGAGCCTCGGCCGCGTGGGTTGGCATAGATTTATTGGCTTGAGCAGAAACTCACCGGTTTACACTGCCGAGGAGGGTTTGAATGGATGAGGACTGAGAAAAAGTTGCCGAATTTGGCTAGTAGCAAGGCTGGAAGAATGGAGTGCTAATACTGAATTATGCATGTACTCGGGAGGAATTACACAGCATCAGACTCGGGCTTCTAAACAGGGACAGTGCCAAATTTCTAATAACTGTGTAATATGCTTATTTATACCATACAAGGACTTACAAACCTCATTGTGCATAGCAGCTGGGTCATATTTCTTTACCCTTCCATTCCTCAGGCTCTTTTGCCAAGAGACTGGTACCAAACACTTCTAGGCTGAAAGGAAAACACAAAATGAAATTGCAAAGAAACGATGACAGGAAGCATGGGTAAGATACGGGCTGACATGCGGCCCTTTAATCTTCAGCATCTGCCTAAAATAGACGCACTAAGGGGGTATTGAAAATATGCACGGGTTTAAATGCAAGTGGTTTTCTGCTTCTAAGTCGTTCAGTGGAATTAACCGCGTATATTTGCCTGACCTGGGCACGTCTGAAGGCTCTAAGGCTTTGTTTTAGACTATTAAGTAAATATTTTAACGAATGTTTTAAAACGTTGTAAACGAACGCGTTAGTCTTGCACCAAGCTCTACTGAAATTGGGTAAATCAAACGAACAACCGTATTCCGATTTGTTTTTAAATATTTGGAGGATATTTGATAATTTCATCCCAGCGTACCAAGTGTACTTACCTCTTGCAATTTCAAGCAAAGTTATGTCTGATGCAAACAGGCAATGTTCGTTATGTAACCAGTAATAATTAAACTATGAACGAATATTCAAGTATCTAGACATTTTTTAAAAGCTTAACTATTTTACAAGTAAAAGCAAACAATTGTGGAACTGTTTTAAATTTTAAAATTAACATTAGTTTTGTCTAAATGCTCTGGATTCTTATTTTTTAATATGCTGTCCTACTATTTTTTAAAAAAGTAGCATCTAGAAAAATAACATTTCAAGTCCATTGCACATTTTGTACAGAAGAGACATTACTGTGAGCTCGGCAACACTCTGTGTAAGAACAAATAGTCCAGAGATCACTGCCCTGGTGAACGTCAGACTGAGATAGTCCCCAATGGTTTTTCCTAGCCAAAAGTCTGATTTCACTTCTATATATATATAAAAAAATTTAAATTGGCCCATCTGCTTTGCAATTACTTTTTTGTTTTTTGATGAAAAGAGCCCTAAAGCTACAGTGTGCTAGAGCATGGGAGCAGGCAAACGGGGCCACGCCAAACTGGAAATAATGGTTGAAAAAATAAAAGCACAACAATGCCCAGCGCTCAGGGCGCTGTGATTTTTTTATGCAGCCTGGCTGCAAGCGCCACGGCAGCTGCAGCTCCACTCTGCCTCCTGCACCAAGCCAAGACGGTGCTGCTGGGACGGGGCGGGCGCAGGCCCGGCCATCGCCGCTTACGGCGGGTCAGCGGGTCAGGCACCACCGGGTAAAACCTTGGCTGAGGCCCGGAGGAGAGCCCGGGAGAGAAGGGACCCGGGCAGCAGCGTGGGTTGGGGTGGCAGCTCGACATGTGAGCAGCAAGGGGGAGAGGGGGAAAGCTCGGTGTCCTGCGGGGACTGTGGTGGAGCGGGAGGACAACGCATCGAATCTCCTGGGTAAGCTGCTGGGGAGCACATGGGCTCCGAGCAAAA